ATTTAGCTTTCCTTTTCCTATTTATCCCTTTCTATATAATCCTGAAAGGATAATCTGGCCGAACCATTACCAACACATTTTTTCCCTTCGTCGGCTCTTTTCACCTCAAAGAAGCCGACGCCTTATACAAAAATGTCTTTTCTATACCGACATCCTTCCCCACCCCTTCAAAATCCAACGTATATAAACACAAAATAGCAAAATCTCACTGGCACTCTCGACACGACACGCAAGAATGGCACAATTACACAGAAGACAAACACTTTGAGTGAGTAGAAATACTTTGATTGAATATATAAAAAAATATATTTTGCATTGTATAAATTCACTTTTCCACATCCAAAATGTAATTGTTATATGTAAACAATGTTTGTAAATCCCAGGCCCTGAAGATGATCTCAATAAAGATCGAAACGTTGGCACGATAAAGAAAATGTTTTTCTGAAACCTACATCACACCAGACCGCATCTCACGATTTCTGAATAATTATCGATTAACGGTCACTAATCACCACACAAATGTATAAATTGTATTCTTAGTTGTAAGTTTTTAATAATGTTTTGTTATAATTATTATTGGTAACAATCAGAAAGGCGAAGTACAAGTGAAGTTGAAGTATAAGTGCTCCAAATAGTACATGAATAATATTAAAAAACATATGAATCAATAATAATTGAAAAAAATCAAATTTATGTCTATTCAAGTAAATTAAATATACGCTAATGTAAGTGTATAAACCAAAACGTCATTATTATCGCTTTCAAATTATGTTGTACTCCATTGAAACTGAACTGTTTGTTATATGTGGTATTACAAGACAGATGGTTAAAGTGATTTATTTCCATAATAAATTATGTTGCTAAGTTCTTATAATAGTATTATCATAAATTGAAAAAAAAAAAACATCATAAAAATAATTATCAATATCCGACATCCTCGAGGTGATAACGAAAGTAATAACACATTTTTCATCTTAAAGTGGTTTTTGAGACTAAAGAGAGTTTAATAAAAATATAAAAATAGTTTTAAAAACGTTTTCATTGATAAAAAAAACATGCGTTAAAACTGATCTGAACTTTTTTAAAGTTTTCATTTCCCCTATAATTTCTATTTTAGCGGAGATCCAAGTCGCCGAGTGGGGCTTTTGCCGGTAGTGAAGGGGGGACTTTGCCTAACTTTGACGCCGTTTTGAAAACTTTTGTCGTGAGTACGAATAGTCGGGCCCGGGTTTCAACTGCCCTACCTGTCTACCATGAATTGTGAAGTATACAGGAGTTTGGATAATATAGCGGGAACTGAAATGTTTTTATTTGCATGTATAAATTATTGCTGCATAAAAACAAGCACTTCAACAATTCATTTGAAATTATTACTACATATTTTGCTATTTTATGTAGTTATTTATTTTATTTTGTACAGAATTTCATTTTTTTAATATGTGGTGTTAGAGTGTAATTACTATTATATAAATTGATTAAATATTCTAAATTGGTCTGTTTAGTTTCTCTTTGTAAATTCTATAAATTAACAGTTTCTGTTTATTCAGTTAATTTGTTTATGCCTGTAAGTTTGAAAGTGATTGTTTCTAATTAACACTTTATAATAGTGGTCGAATAATCTAATACAAAATGAAGAGTACTCTTTGCCTCAAGCATCACATTGAAATTGCAAAGACCACAAACTGAATGCTCATAGATAATCACTCATTTGAATTAATAACATTACGTGACTTAAATATTATATATTTTCTTATTTAAAAGTATTTAATTGTCCATTGCAGGATTATATAATTGTAAAGAATTATTGAAGTTCGTGTCATCTTATTTCTGTAATAAAAGGAAAAATATTTTTGTGGTTTGTTAAATACCCAGAGCCTATTTCACTACAACATAAATGTTATATATTGTTGTTTGATGTCTGGACTAGGAGTGCTCTGGATAACTTAAACTCGACGGGAACAAGGGCATCTTGTCCGACAAAATGCCAAAAAATGTTGGTTTATTTCCCCCTTACCATGTCCTTTTACAAATAAAATGTGGATACAAAAAATAATAAAAACTGTAAGTTTAGAAATACGACAATATTTTTGACAATATTTCTTGTTTGTTTAGGAAATTATAATCGGGTTACTTTGTTCTATGGGATTAACTTTTTGTATTAATATAAAACAATATAAATCCAATAATTATTAGATATTAAATATAATTAAATTGTAATAATTTATCATACGTTTGACGTGATTAAGCTATAACGTTGATTTCATAAAGCCCGCTATTTCTCCCCACCATGGGGACGAATAGAAAAGATAGACCTAGTGTAAGAGGAGATAGGGCTGACCGGCCCATTCTTGTTGAAGAAAAAGTGAGAAGAAAAACGTGGCCCGTATTAAGTTTTAAAATTGATTATAAAGTGTTATCAGTTTATGTTTTTTGATTTTAATTTAGTTAAAGGTACATTGTACACAACACACACAGTAAGTGTTTCTGTTTGTGCATGCACAAGAATTTTGGTTAATTTTTCCTTTTTGTATTTTTCTTATTCTTATTGTAAGCACTAATCTTTTTATAATTTGTGATTAGGAATTTATTTTTTTAATATAATTATGTGATTAAGCATTGATCTTTTTTTATAATTTATTATTACAATATATTTAGTTTAGAAGATAAAGTTTTTTGTTCTATTTGTTCAAGATTCACTGAGGTACGATCCTCCGACTATAAAAAAGTCAAATAATCACTACAAATAGTGGTAGCAGAGCGTAAGACTCAGTGATCATAAAATTAATCTATTTTCATTAAAAACAAAATTTAAAAAAAAATGGGGCGAAATAAAAAATGTAAAAAACACATGATGGCAGAATGTGGAGATATCAATAAAGCCCAAATTGATAGCTTACATACATACATTCAGAGTGTTTTAAATGAAAGTCATAAAACTCTAATAAACGCGCTCGTTGATAGTTTTATAAAAAGTTGGCCTGAATTAGAAGCAACAGAAAAAATGGAAAATTTTATTAAAAACATATCAGACGTTGCACAGCAAAACGCTCAAAAACTAACAGAACAAACATCACAAATTCTTCCCCAAACACCTAATATTTCTCCTCGTATAAAAAAAGATATTCAACTCACCAATTTTCGTATGGCTTTACAACAACTAAATTTAACTGAAAGCCAAATAAACCAGACTATGCAAAAAGTGCAAGAAGGTATTATAGAAACAGAACCTGTAACTGATATAACAGATACTTGTGAAACACCCAAAAAAACTCATAACAATCTACCCACATTTCACTCCTCTACGTTTTGCAAACAAAATGTTCAAGAAACGAAAAAATTATATCCAGATTTCAGTGTATTACATAATTCACGTGATGATAGTTCCTCTGAGAGTTCATCAGATATTGTTGAAATACCTCATATGCATAAAACCTTTTTTAAACACACAATTTCTCCTACTCTTATCAAAAAAATTAAATTACTACCAAACTTCAAACTTTATCAGCCTTCAGCAATAATTAACTTTTTGACCGAACTGATTCCTATCGTTTTACGTAATAGAAATAAATTTAAAAGAATTTTAGCTATTTTAGCAGAGAGAGAAACTGATGAAATGACAGCAAATTTTTTATATAATGCCCTAGCTTTCAGCAAAATAAGTTTTGAAATATTTTCTGAGGCGTTATTAAAACATGGGATGTCGGAAAAGCAATATTTTCAAATTAAAGCCCAGTTACTTTTCGTCCCTCAGGATGAAAACACTCCCATAAGACAATATATTGATTATCAATTGAAACTATTAAAACTTTTTGGGGAAACTAACGAATTCGCGAACATACGGCATTTAATTACAGCCATACATCCTAAGTATTTAATTTTAATGGGCAATACAGACAATTTAACTTGTTACCAGCATCTATTTGATAAAATCAAAGAAATTGAAATCAGCATGAATGAGAGATATGCTAATTTTGGACATAATACGGTACCCAATTTTAATTATAAACCTACATACGCGGACATTACAAAAACAAATTCAACCCCTAGAAATTTCAACTACAATTATAATCATAACATGCAAGTGCCTAGATTTAACACTCAAACATTCGTTAACAGAAAATTCAACAAACGAAATCCAAACAAAACTTATCAGAGATACAGATACGATAACAATTCCTTTAACAACAATCAATATTATAATCAACCGTATAACACTACAAGGAGGTTTAATCATAACAACAAAGATCAAAACAATTATTTTAGCAATAGAAATTATAACAATTATAATCACTTTAGAGGCAACAATTACAACAACAACCGTTCTAATTTTGCATATGTTAGGACAAAGAACAAAGGATTTGGAAATCCGAACAGAAATAGACAAATTGGGAAAAATGTGGATTATCAAAAGAGCAAAAACAAAACATTAAAGACCTCACATGACAACGCATTTGCACTTTTAGATAAAAACATAGAAACCATCTTAAAATTGAGACAGCTCTTTACAGACACTCTACCTTCAACGAACCAATCCTCATCTCAAAACACAACAAATACAAAACAGCCAAAAAACTAGACAAAGAAGCTTCCCTACAATCAGAAAACCTACAACCTGAAATGACAAACAAATTACCCTTTATCAAAGTTAAAATTGGAAGTAAAGAAGTACCAGCATTACTGGACTCTGGCAGTACAATTAACGCAATATCGCAGAAATGTTTCGAATATTTACACAAAAAATTCTTTAAAGATATTAACTCAAAGTTAAACATTCCCGTTGTTTCTGTTGCAGGAGAAATTGTTAATCTCGTAGGGCAAGCTTCCATTAAAATAAAATTCAATAATTTATCATGGCCATTAGCTGTTCATATTTTAAAAAATATGCCAATTCCTTTATTGCTAGGCTTTAACTTCATGAAACAATCAGGACTCATACTAGATTCAGGAAATAAACAACTTTTCTTTGAACATAACCCATTGAAAACTTATAAGTTACTTACTGAACAAGATGTTGGTATTGTTTTAAATCCTACACAAACACCAAACACACACACACCTTTCATAGACATGTTAATGGGCAATATTGTTACGCACAGCACTTTTAATTTCCCTCGGACAAAGTTAGAGGACAACAGTAAAACAAAAACTAAGACAAACTCTACCATGTTTACTAACGAAACCTCTTACCTTGTAAACAAGCCAGAAGTATTAAGGCAAAGGCTTATTCACAGTTTCCCGGATGTTTTGACTGAAAATATTGGTGAGGCAAAAAACTATAAATTAAAAATATACATGCGGGATATAGCTCCTATAAATCAGCCTGCTTACCCGCTAAACCCAATCGAACTGGAACAAATGCGTAGTATAACAAAAAATTTACTACAACAAGGAGTGATACAACCATCACATTCTCCTTGGGCTTCACCAGCCTTTTTGGTATCAAAAAAGGATAGTGCAACTACCAAAAGATTAGTCATAAACTACAAAAAAATCAATGACAATATCAAATTTATATCATGGCCTCTGCCCAACATACAAGACATATTTACACACATTTATGGAGCTCGATATTTTACAACGCTAGATTTGTCGAATGCATTTTTTCAACTTCCTTTAGATGCAGAATCACGACAATACACAGCATTTAAGACACCATATGCGACATACGAATTTAAAAGAGTACCAATGGGATTGAGCCTGGGCACACAAGCACTTACGGAGTATTTGGATAACATTTTTGGTGAAGTAAAATACAAATTTATCTGGAATTATCTGGATGATATTTTAATCTTTTCCAAATCAATTGAAGAGCATGTTGAACATATTTCCACAATTCTACAAATACTGAGGGAAAATGGACTCACACTAAATCCTAACAAAATAGATTTACTTCAAACATCCGTAAAGTACTTAGGACATCAAATTGCTCACAATTCAATTACCATAGACGAAGACAGGTTGGCGGCCATAAAAAAATTGACTGTCCCTACCACACTGAAACAAACGTTGTCATTCCTTGGTTTGTGCTCGTTCTTTGCGCGTTTTATTCCAAACTTTTCAAATTTGGCAGCACCTTTATACCAACTCAAAAACAAAAACCAAGAACTGATATGGGATTATGAATGTGACAACGCGTTTAAAAAACTAAAACAACATTTAATATCTCCTCCAGTACTTGCTGCTCCGAACTTTAACAAACCATTCATGCTGTATACGGACGCATCCACTTTCGCTGTGGGCAGCTTGTTAGCGCAAAGGGACGAAAATGACGCCGTCCAACCAATAGCATTTTTCTCGAAAGTACTCTCCAAATCGGAAAAAAACTATACGACATACAAAAAGGAACTGTACTCTATCATACTAAGCTTGCGACATTTTAGACGATTTTTGATTCACAAACCATTTGTACTATTCACTGATTGCAACGGACTAGTTTATTTTCTGAAGGGCGATCGCTCTAAAATTTTGAACAATCCTGCGGTGAAATGGATTTCAGAATTGGATTCTTTCAATTTTGAAGTCAGACACGTCAAGGGACTAAACAATTCGGTTGCGGATTACTTATCCAGGTTCTCGGTTGATGAGGCAGAAAAGGACAATGTTGAGTACAAGAATCAAGAACAATTTGCTTTAAAATTTTATTCCGATAGCGACCCATCCTTTTTCACTTCACCGCTCAAAGGTCTGCCTTCTTTGTTCGATGATTTTGCTGAATCTCAAAAACAAGACCCTTACATTTTGCAACAAATAAAAAACAATAACAAATTCATAAAACAAATTAACGGCATTACGTATCATGTTCCGACAGTTAAACCTGAATGCAAAAAAATAATAGTTCCTGAAAACGTGAAAGGTCAAATTTTTCAGTATTTCCACTTAAATACCTTTGGTGGTCACCATGGATTTTCCAAAACATTGTCCCGTGTTAAAAGTTTATTTCATTACCCAAAAATGAGAAAGGATATCAAAAATAGAGTGGCTCAATGTAGAATTTGTGCTCAAATAAAGCCAAACAACAATCCGTTCCCTAAGATTTTACAGAGTACTCCACCCACTCGTGTCATGGAAAAACTGTACATTGATTTTATTGGCCCACTTCCAACGTCTTGCAAAGGAAATAAATTTATATTAATCGCCGTTGATGGATTTAGTAAATTTTTATTCACCTTTCCCTGTAGGAACACGACATCTGAAACTGTCATTCGAACATTAAAAAACTGTGTTTTTGCACAGCATGGTTTCCCTACTTACATCATCTCTGACAGACAGTCATGCTTCAGATCAGAGAGTTACAAGAATTTTTTGTTCGATCTAGGCATCACACACATAAACAACATTGCATATTATCCCCAATCAAACTTAGCCGAAAGGTACATTTCAGGAATAAAAAGGGGTATAAGAGCTTACCACTCTAACGAACAGAAAAAATGGGAAGACAATTTATTCCTCTTTGTTTCTGCCTTGAACTCGACACAGAACGACACAACTAAAACAACTCCGTCACTCTTATTTCTTGGACGGGATTTACAACACCCCCTAACATTAAAACTAAATCTAGAAAAAGATCTAAATACGTTATCTAGAACGGAATTAGAACATCTCATATCAAAAACCTACGAAAACCTGGAAAATGCGCATATAAAAAGAAAACAAAGCTACCAAAAAGACAATAACGGTTCATTGCCAGATATAGGAGATATTGTGTATTATAAAAGGTTTATTTTGTCCAACAAGGCAAAAAACATACAAGCTTCTCTTACAACCAAGTTTATAGGGCCATGCAAGGTTGTCAAAATATTCAATAAAGTCTCATACCTGATACAAGCCATAGACAACCCGGAAGTTTTAATACACGCTCACTTGACGCAACTCAAAAAGGCAAGCGATACTGCAGTGTAGATTGTTAATTCATTTAATCTCCTACGTGCAATTTTCTACTTACTCACTTGTCTTTTAATAAATTAAAGAAAGTAGTTTGATTTCTTTATTCGATTTCTGTCATGATTTAATTTAATTTAATTTACAAAGGTATCAATTTNTATCAGTTTATGTTTTTTGATTTTAATTTAGTTAAAGGTACATTGTACACAACACACACAGTAAGTGTTTCTGTTTGTGCATGCACAAGAATTTTGGTTAATTTTTCCTTTGTGTATTTTTCTTATTCTTATTGTAAGCATTAATCTTTTTATAATTTGTGATTCGGAATTTATTTTTTTTATATAATTTGTGATTAAGCATTGATCGTTTTTTTTATAATTTATAATTACAATATTTTTAGTCTAGAAGATAAAGTTTTTTGTTCTATTTATTCATGATTCACTGAGGTACGATCCTCCGACTATAAAAAAGGTAAAACAATCACTACAAAGCACATGTTACATTTTAACGTCTTGAAGCGGGCACCGGCAGGTTTTGTTCTTTAAGCTTCTTGAATCATTTATTATCATTATGTATTATTCATGGGCTCATATAATCAGCATTCTTCGCAAATTCAGGCCGGAAATGTACAAATTAACGATCCTTAAGATTGAACGCGCGTCACTTCGGTGATTAGTTTCCTTCTAGTTTATCGACTTCCGGAAGAGCCCTATATAATTAGAAATAAAGCAAAGAGATTAAGGAGAAATTAAGCTAAATTAATTATTAAAGTTTTATGTTACAGTGGAAATAAAGTTAATCGTTAAACAAGAAAATTCAAAAATTCAAATATACAGTACAAGTGAATTTTATTCTGTAGAAATACTTTGATCGAATATATAAACAATATATTTTGCATTGCATAAATTCACTTTTCCACATCCAAAATGTAATTGTTATATGTAAACTATGTTTGTAAATCTCAGGCCCTGAAGATGATCTCAATAAAGATGGAAACGTTGGCACGATAAAGAAAATGTTTTTCTCAAACTTACATCACACCAGACCGCATCTCACGATTTCTAAATAAATAGGAATGAACATAATTTATTACCGTATACCGTATTACCGTGAAAAGGAAGGGGTTGTTTAACTCCGCCCCAAGGAATAGCGAGTACTCTGGGGTGAATGTATATATATAATAAAAATGGTAAAATTTGAACCTAGACTAAAAAATAATAAATACCCTTTTTTTTATATCGTCATTTATTCAAGAGAAATTCAGCCGCACCACCTAAAAAGAACACCCTGTATATATATNTTTATATGTACATACACCCTGTATATGTATACGGGGTGTTCTTAGTAGATGACGCGGCTGAATTTCTCTTGAACCAATGACGCTATCATACAAAAAAACGTATTTTTATATTTTTAGTCTAGGTTCAAATTTTTCCTTTTTTTATAGAAAATCATACAGGGTACCAGTTCAATTTCCAAAATTTCAAAAATGACGCTATATCTCCTGGCACATTGTTTTAAACGATGTTTTATGCTGAAAATGCAATCGGATTTTAAATTGGTCCAAAAATAACAAAGTTATGGAAATACGTTTCAAAAAATATGTTATTTATATTTTGAGCAACACGAATAAACATTTTGTGAGTTACTCTGGGTCGATAATGTTTACATAAATATTTAAAGGGTATACCATTTCTCTAAAAAAGCTAAACACTCGAAACTAGATATAAATATATTAAATATGTATTATTTGTTTTTTGATAGCGTCATTAGTTCAAGCGAAAGTCAGCAGGCAACTTTAAAAAAGACACCGTGTATATCGGTGTTCATCAAATTACATATTGTAATCAAAAATTTCAGACTCTAATAAGATATTCGGAAAATGTTTAATGTTTAAGCGAAGTTGCAATTACGTACCAAGAGAACACTTCCTTGGGGGTGAAATATGAAAATTGGTGTTTATGCAATGCCGTTACACCACTTTATCAAATTTACTCCGGGCTCATTTCAGTACTGTAAACAAATTGCCCGAACTGGGAGAAAAATGGTTGTACAAAAACAATTACGTAGTTCAGATTTCACATTCGATATTAATAATTAATCTTGTGTCGATTTTTTTCCAGATTTAAAATTGTTTTATTGGAACATCGCGTTCCAAGGAGGTTGTGGCTTCAATTTGGCTAGACCA